TGTTGCACTGTAGCGACTACTCCTTGAGCTGCTTTTGACCAGACAGCGAGGACCCGGGGTTCTCCCAGGGGGTACATGGAGAAGCCCAGGAGAGGGGCTCACGGGGACAATGAGTGGGCACATGGAGAACCAGAACGACTCAATCGGGCAGATAGGGTTCCAGAAAATACAACTGACACACTTTGACAATGAGAGGAAACAGATGGAGGCCCCTGGCTTCCCCACATGGCCTCGTTCATAATCTGCAGCATTCCTCACTGGGGCAGGTAAGTGGCAATGATATTATTTCCCCAGGCCACCAGGTGAGTCACTAGCCCAACCCCGCCGTCCTGATGGCCAACGCAGAGAGGCTCAGCCCTACCCATGATACCTTGTGTTCAATAAAATGACTAATTCATCAGTCCAGGAGTTGCTGTATAGGCAGTCAGACAAGTTTCAGTCGGGTTCGACAGGACCATACCATCTACAGGAACTAACGCACGAAGACAATATTTACCTTCTACACATGCCTCGCTGCGTGATAAAGAGTGAGCGGAAGCAGTGTGAGTTTGGGGCGTGATAAGCAGGAGCCATCTGTTTCTATAGGGAGACTTCAAGCCCTCTGGGGAACTCGCCCTTCTGTTTGAGCGTCTCCATTCACTCCTCAGGAGCAGAGCTTTTGCCTAAAGCTTCAGATCAAGACGTAGGTGGATGGATCCAGGTTATTAAAGATGGGCAGGGCCCCCAGGATGATGGCTACTCGGAGGGCCCAAAGGAAGGAGGACTATTAATTCCTGGTGTGTAATTGTAGATCCATTGAGTGTGGGCGCCCCAAACACCCGCTGAAGTCGGACCTCGTGTCTCCCAAGGCATGCTGGACTTCTGTTGACCCACAGCACGTTGACATTTTCATTCTCCCTGTCCCCCCACCCCCCGGAAAATGCTGTGTCCTCTCCTGAGTATATTCCTAAGGATTGCCTCCGGCTTGGAGATGGAGGCCTGTTCCTGCTCCCATTCGCTTCCTACTAGGCTGTTACTCTCCTGCAGCAAGCAAGGTGTGTGGAGCGAGAATCGCAGCACAGGTTTTAAATCATTCTTAGAATTCAACATTAGGCCGTCTTCCCCATGATTACCTTATTGTTTCTGAATACCACTGTTGACCAGAGGTTTACTTTTAACTTTTATTGGGGCCTGGCTCCTGCTCAAGTCTTCCCTTCACATTGCAAACCTAACACACTGTCTCAAGGCCTGAGGACCCCCAAGCCTTTCATCCTTGGCAACTTGACCGTTGGCTTATTTTCGATGCCTGTTCGTTTGCTAGCAGAAGTCTTAAGCATTCCTGCCTACTGTCAGTCCTGCTACCAGACTCGTAGCCTCCCTACCCCTCTGTCTCACTTTCTTCTTTTTACTTATACTTTTTTTGGGGAAATCACTTAAACTCACGGAAAGCCAATAGGAATAAAAGTAATCCACGGAACAGCCCTAAACCCTTTACACAGCACCACCCACAATTAACACTGAACCAGATGCTGTATCATTTGCTTTCTCATTCATCCACCTAGAGCATTTTTTTTTTATGAATCGCTTGGAAATAAATGAACTGTAAACATGCCAGTGTTCTTCCAAAGAACTGTGTTTTTTCCTCTTTTATAGTCTTGGTGCAGTTATCAACCTCAGTGAATTTTATTACTGATATAATAATTTTATACAATTTAGTCCCTATCCCAGTTTTGTTTATTGATCCAATAATGTCTTTTATAGCTTGATTTGTAAAAATTTTATTGGGGGCTTGTACAATTCTCATCAAAACCCATATGTATATCCATTGTGTCAAGCACATATGTACATTTGTTGCCCTCATCATTCTCAAAACATTTGCCTTCTACTTTAGCCCTTAATATCAGTTGCTCATTTTCCCCCTCCCTCCCCACTCCCCCTTCCTTAATGAACCCTTCATATTCGTAAATTATTATAGTTTTGTCATAAGTTACACTGTCCGACGTCTCCCTCTACCCTTTTCTCTGCTGTCTATCCCCCAGGGAGGAGGCAATACTTAGATTCTTGTAATCAGTTCCCCCTTTCTACCCCACATTCCCTTCACCCTCCAGGCATCGCCCCTCTCACCACTGGTCCTGAAGGAGTCATCTATCCTGGATTCCCTGTGTTTCCAGTTGCTATCTGTACCAATGTACATCCTCTGGTCTAGCCAGATTTGTAAGGTAGAATTGGGATCATGATAGTTGGGGGGAAGAAGCATTTAAGAGCTAGAGGAAAGTTGTATGTTTTATCGTTGCTACCCTGCACCCTGACTGGCTTATCTCCTCCCCTCAACCCTTCAGCGAGGGGGTGTCCAGTTGCCTACCGATGGGCTTTGAGTCTCCACTCCACTCCACCTTTACAATATGATTTTTTGTTCTTTGATGCTTGATACCTGATCCCTTAGACAGCTCGTGGTCACACATGCTGTTGTGCTTCTTCCATGTGGGCTTTGTTGCTTCTGAGCTAGTTGGCCGCTTGTTTACCTTCAGGCCTTTAAGATCCCAGAAGCTATATCATTTAATAGCCGGGCACCATCAGCTCTCTTCACCACATTTACTTATGCACATGTTTGTCTTCAGTGATTGTGTCAGTAAAGCGGGCAAATGATTTTCAGTTCTTTGATGTCTGATAACTGATCTCTTCTATACCTCGTGGTCAGAGAGGCTGGTGTGCTTCTTTCAGATGGGCTTTGATGCTTCTCAGCTGGATGGCTGCTTGTTTATCTTCAAGCCTTTAAGACCCCAGACGCTATATCTTTTGGTAGCTGGGCACCATCAGCTTTCTTCATCACCTTTGCTTATGTTCACATTTTTCTTCAGCAATTGTGTCGGGAAGGTGTGCATCCTGGAATGTCAATTTAATAGAACAATGTGTTCTTGCAATGAATAAGTTATCGCTTGATTTTTTTCCTCTTCCCTCACAGACTCTCGTCTAGGAACTGTCCTGTGTGTATTGTGTATTTGTGGATTGTGTCTCTTTAGTCTCCTTAAAACAAGAATGCTTCCATTTAGCACCTATGTTTTTTGTTAGTTTGTTTATGACATTGACATTGTAAAAGATCCAGGTCCTTTCCCCTAGTAGAACATGCTCCATTCTGTGTTTGTCTGAGTTTTCCTCAGGGTCAGATCCGGATTTTGCACTCCCCACCAGAACCCTACTTCGGGGGTGCTGCATCCTTGGGCATTGCAGCTGAAGCACACGATGCCCACTTGCCCCTCGCTGACAATGTGAATTGTGATCACCCTGCCAAGGCGTTGGCCAAGCTTGCCATTGTTTACTTACTGTGTATCCGTAGTCATTAACAAGCAAATTTGGGGCGACACTTTAAAACCACACAGATATTATGCTCCCCAGCCAAATCCCCTAACCACTGTAGATTTAGTATCCCGTGACAATGAGTCTCGCCTTCCTAGTCTTAGTTATTATTTATGATTGCTAAATGATGTGTTTCAACACCAGCACTTTCCCCAGTAAGCAGGAGTTCTCTCCTTCTCGTTCACTTGTTGCTCTGTTTGTTTATACATCTGTTTCTGTTGGTATGGGACCATAATTATCCCCCCCAACCCCAAGAAGGCCCATAAATCATCAAGGTCATGAATCACTTGGGTGCTCAAACACTCTCAAACTCGGCCAGCAGGAGTCCCTTCCAGCTGTCCCTGGGGTCTTGTGACATCTTTTAAATGTTGCCTTCACAGTATTCTGGGAGATCAGCAAGATGTTCTCAGGCCCCTCCCCTCTCCTTTCTTCTAACTATAGCTCTCTTTGTAGCTCCTCAGTGTCATGCGTGTGTCAAGGTGATGATTTAGACTCTACAGTTTAGAGCAAAGAAGGAGAAGGGTTAGCAGCCCCGAGTGCTCTAGAGGTTCCGAAGCACAGAAGAGCTCAGGTGGCCCTCATCTCACTCTTTGCCTCTGCTCCGAGCAGGTGCTGTCCACGGGACAAGAGGCTCTGGACTCCTACACCGTGGCCCATGGCAGCTATTTACCGAGTCTCCTAACATGTGCTGGGCATTGTAAGAATACACAAACTAAAAAGAGGAGATTATGCTGAAAGGTTGCTGGTTCAAGCCCACCGAGGGGCAGACACCATGGAAGGGAAAAGGTCTGGCAATTTGCTTCTGTAAAGTTTACAGCCCAGGAAACCCCTTGGGACAGGTTTCCTCTGTAACATGGGGGGCGGTTTCATCATGAGAATCACCTTGATGACAAAGGGTGCTCTTTTGTTTGGTCTTTGTAATTCTCTAGTGGGAAACTCACAGGGGCAGTTCTACCCTGTCCTATAGAGCCGCTATGAGTTGGCATCAACTCGGTGGCAGTGAGTTTGGGTTGTTTTTTTTGGGGGGGGGGGATAAGCATCAGGGTTCCCTAGGACAGGCACAGGTATATCTAAGTAACCCTAACACAACCTGAGGGTGTTTTTAGTGGGTCGTCGGTGAGGTACTTGAAAGAGTGTTAGGAGTTCGTTCTGTGGTGAAAGTAATCCTGATGGGGACGTTTGGAGAAGCTTCCCGAGTGAACTTTTGAGTAGTCAGAATTTGAGGGATGGCAGGATGAGGAAGAAGAGCTCCCCCAGTGCTTGCCGGAGATCACCACTCGGGAGCTCTGACGCCGATAGGACTTGGCCACTTCATGCAACTGGCCCCCACCCCCTGCGAGGCGCTGCTGTGGCTCCTGTGAGCAGCCATGGACTTGGCTCTGAGTCACAGTGACCGAGTACAGCTGGAGGAAGCAGAGCCCTGCCCAGTCCTGCACCGTCCTCCCGCCCGCCGCTAGTCTGAGCCTACTGCTGCAGCCCCAGGGTCCATTCCTCTTGGTGAGGGCCTTTCTGTCTTTCTCTGGCCCTCGGGCACGATGTCCTTCTCCAGGGACTGGAGCCAGGTGCGTAAGGACCATCTGAGAAGTCCTGCGGCTGTAGGACAACCCTCTTGCCTGACCTCCCAACTAAAGCGCACTGTCCCTGATGCCATTTCATGTTTCTTTCAGACACACAAGAAGCATGCCCAGCGTTCACCAAGCTGAGCTTTCACAGCGCACTGCTTGGCACGGACCTGCATGTGAAGCTCTTCCTGTACACGAGGAAGAACATGACCTGCCCGGAAGTCATCAACTCCACCGCCTTGGGGGACTTGGACGTGACCAAGAGAACCACCTTCATTGTTCACGGATACAGGCCCATGGGCTCCGTGCCTGGCTGGTTGGGGGACTTGGTGAAAAGCTTGCTCTCGGTGGAAGACATGAACGTGATTGTGGTGGACTGGAATCGAGGTGCTACCACCGTGGTATACCACCACGCCTCTAGCAAAACCAGAAATGTAGCCCAGATCTTGACGAAATTTATTGACCAGATATTGGTAAGAGTGACATGTTCTTAGATTATTCGGGGCCAACGTGAAACTAACCTATTACCTGGAGACTGAAACCCAAGAGGCCTCTGCATTGAGCAGAAGGATCATTTGAGGTGATCCTTCTGGCAGGGGGGTCGAGGGGCACATATAGGCATGTTGGCACTGCACAAGGAGAGCCATCTGGGCGCAGCAAGTGGGGCAGAGGGGCCCCATTGCCTTGTAGATGGTTTAGATTTACAGATTTATGATAATGATTTTTCCACCACACCATCATACAGGATCCTGAGGGAGAGGGGTTGTTTTCTTTTTTATTTTCCTTTTTAAAATAATTTTATTGGGAGCTCATACAACTCTTATTACAATCCACACATACATCCATTGTGTCAAGCACATTTGCTGCCATATCATTCTCAAAACATTTGCTTTCTGCTTGAGCCCCTGGTATCAGCTCATCCCCCCCCCCATTTCCCCCTCCCTCATGAACCCTTGCTAATTTATAGATTATTATTATTTTGTCATATCTTACCCACTGCCACTTTTCTGTTGTCCATCCCCCAGAGAGGAGGCTATATTTAGATCCTTGTAATTGGTTCCCCCTTTCCACCCTACCCTCCCGAGGGGTCGTTTTCTAACTCACAGAAAGGTGCCTTATGGTTACGGGGGGCGCCTGAGGAGGGGTTTTCTGGTCTCCACACGTCAAGCCACTTCCATGTCTATGATGGTTTCTTTTGCTGGCAGTGTTAAGCATTCAGTGACCAGATATTGAAACACAGGGCCTGACTTGAATCACGGCAAAGATTTTGTCTTTTTGTAAGTCTTTAGAAGACTTACAAAAGCTAGACTGTACTTAGTGATGTGCCTCATAAATTGTCCCCTTTGAGCAAAAAGCAGCAGCAGTGACGTGAATTCTGGACCATTTCAGAGAGCGTCTGGCCAGGTGATCCCCGCAGCGATGGGTGGCATGACTTCCTATAAGCTCCCCGTCTAAGGCACAGCCCTGGGAAGTTGGATATTGAAATTACACATGGCAGGTTGCCCTGGCAGTCTTTGGACTGTGCCCGCTACCTCGTTTCACCTTCTAGCCATTTCTCCCCTTCTTTCCCTGGTGACTCATTATCTGAGCCAGCAGGAGGATAGATAAGGGAGTTCATCGAAATATATTGTCTCATCCTCAAATTTGAAGATCTTAAAGTTTGTTTTTTTTTGGCTTGCTTTCTGTCAGGCGGATGAATGAAGATACCAGGGCATAAAGATGGGGGCCCAGGGCTGGAGACAGACAAACAGGGTTTGAAGTTTGTCCTTCCACTGCCTGGCAGAGTGCTAAACTCTGAGCTTCAGCTCCTTATCTATAAAACCAGAAGAGAATTCTTGAAGGGGTTCCGAGACATTGCGATGAGAGAAAGGATGTACGCCTCTCAGAAATGATTCTCTGGAGCCCACAGCTAGGGCATTCCCCTGGGAGTTATCCGTTCCTTAGCCCCTCACCATTCATGTTGGCTCTCTTGACCTTCCAGGCAGAAGGAGCATCTCTCGAGGACATTTACATAATTGGAGTCAGTCTGGGAGCCCACATAGCTGGGTTTGTTGGAAAAATGTTTGATGGCGAGCTGGGGAGAATTACAGGTAAGCCTCCTGTGAGTGGACGAGAGGTCGCCAGCTGGGCAGGGTGCTCGGTGGGAAAATCGTATGCAGGCATTTCCGAGCCAGCGCTATCCAATTACATATGCTCTCTGAGCGTGTGTGCTTGTATACAAATGGACGATCCTAATAAAATCAACTTTGCATGATTGTATGTGCAAAAAAATAAAAAAGAAGAAAACCCTTCAAACCCATTGCTGCTGAGAACCAAGCAGCCCCGGATGTCACAGTGCCGCTCTGTGCCGCAGGGGTGCTTGGCGGTCATCTTTACCGAAGCGGGTTGCCAGGCCTTTCTTCTGTGGTGCGCCAGAAGGGTTTGAACCACTAACGCTTAGGGTAGTGCACACATGCGCCTACACGCACTCGCTGCCATCGAGGCCGTGCTGGGTTTCTGCGATTGTCCCTGTGGATGGGAACAGAAAGCCCAACCTTGCTCCCCGGGAGCTGCCAGTGGTTTCGAACCACTAGCCTGTGGATCCCAGCACAACCCCCACACCACCAGGGCTCCCAGTCTTGCACAAATCCAATGAGCCACCCAGGGCTGGGCGCTTTGTAAGTTGTCTCCGTCACAGAACGGATGACAACGGCTCCGCGTTTCTCATGTACCTGTCAAACCAGCTGTCCTCGTGGGGCTGATGCCTGGGCCCCCAGCTGGCCCGCTTCCTCCTCTCGCTGAAGGTAAGTGAGCGTTCACGTTCCACCGAATCCGCTTCAGTCTCCAGATGTAGCTGGAGTCGCACGACAGGAACATGAGCCGGAAATCCTATTCCGATGGCTGAGGATCACGCTCTGAATATCGTCTTTCTTTCGCGCCCCAACAGAATGAAAACACTCAACTTGCAGCAGGTCAACCCGAACAAAGGCTCCCTTGCTGGGCCCCCTTGCTGGGTGTTTTAGTAACTTTCCACAGCTCCCAGCAGACAGCCGAGGGAAGCTGTTCTTCCAGAGACCCAGCTTCCTCTCCTGAATCCATCCTCACACCAGAGTAGTGGTTTTCAATCCTGAAAATCTGGAAGGCAGAAGTGAATGGAAGGGAGAAGGGAATGATTCAAATCAACTACAAGGGGGTACCCCCCAAAAAAAACCCTGGAATTTCCCCCCCCCAAAGCTATGTATGTAATTTTTTTAAAAAAAACAAAACAACCATATCACCTTCAAAGTACTCTCCATCACACTTAATACATTTGTTAAATCTGCAATTCTGTTCTTGGAAACATTTTTCAGACTCACCTATTTGGATGGCTGACAGCACCTCCCTCACTGTTTTTTCTTCACCTCTTCCATGTTGTCAAATCGCTGTCCTTTCATGTCCCTCTTCGTTCACAGAAACAAAAAAGTCTCTCAGAGTGAGGTCAGGGGAGTCAGGTGTGTGGGGCAAGAGAGACATGGTGATTTTTGCCCATAACTGATGCACTGAGATGGCTGCGTTAGCAGGTAAATCAGGCCTTTTTTTGTCACACACTGTTATGCAATCTTTTCAGAACCTCTAAATCAAAAGCTTGGTTAACAGTCTGACCCGATGGAATGAACTCCAAATGCACTATGAGTCACATTTTCATCTGTTAGGGAAGTTGACGGATGTCCAGAACGAGGTTTGTCATCAATCAACATTTCACCTTTTTTGAAACAAGAAAACCACTTGTACACTTGAGTTTTTCCCATAACGCTGTCCTGGTAAGCTGTGTTCAAAATCACAACAGTTTCTGTGGCATTTTTCCGGAGCAAGAAAAAATTTCACAGCCGCACTCTGTTCTCTTAAATCGGCCATCACAAAAACAAGGTTCAAGGGAAACTGCTTTTATGAAAAAATTCACTGTGACCAGAGAGAAGCTTCCCAGGTGATGCCACTGGGTGCACTAACTCAGAGCAAGTTGCTAGATGTTTGCCTTGTGGGAAAGAGGTGTCTTACAAAAGCTCCGCTCTGCCCAGCATAATTCCAGGGGTTTTTTTTGGTGGGGGGGATGCCCCCTCGTATGTTTGGGTGGTAAATGCAAGGCCCAGTTCTTAATGTGCCCTGGGAAAATCCACTTTCTCTCTGACTATTGGTTAGTGCCAGATTGGAGACTCCATGGGACTTGCCACATCTGGGTGAGCCCCATGTGGTCTGCCCACACAGAGCTTATAGCTTTTCAGGGCGGTTTAAGCATGGTGTTTTTATGGGGATTGTAGGTTTCTAATTTGCAAGGGTTTATCAAATAACTCGGAGCCCTGGTGGCATAGTGGTTATGTGTTGGGCTGCTAACCACAAGATCATCAGTTTGAAACCACTAGTCAACTCTGCGAGGCATTCTACTCCCATAAAGAGTTACAGCTTCAGAAACCCACAAGGTGTGTGTGTGTGTGTGTGTGTGTGTGTGTGAGCTCTATCATGTCCTATAGGGTCGCTATAAGTCCCCATTGATTCAATGGCAGGGAGGAGCAGATCACATGACTCAGGAGATCATATGCTCATATTTCCCTGTGACGGTGTGGTTTGCACCTTTTGTCCTGGTGCAACCATTGGAACACCCTTATCACTCTCAACACTGCCCTGTTAGGACATTATATGCGGTGTGCTGATTCATCAGCCACTGGTCTGCTGCCTGCTGTAAACAGGGCTCTCATAGTTGGTTTCCTGAGGCAAGAAGTGGTGCTGTCTTCTGTGCAGAGGGAGAGGCGGCTTCAGCCAATTCTTTCTAAGGGCTGGAGTTGCTCCTGGTCTTGAGACTTTCCTGTGGGCTGGGGTGCCTGGGTGATGTTGATCCAGCTCCTCCCACATCAGTTCCAGTAAGGAACCGACAAAAGAGGAAGAAAGGCTGGCACGGAAAGAGAGACAAGGAAAGGAGACAGATAAACAAATGTCCCAAGAGAGCCGAAGAGCCTTTCACCAACTCCGGCTGCCAGTTCTGCAGTGATCGCCAGACTTCCTCCTGAGGTGCCTGCCTCCAGGTGGCCTCCAGCCTCCAGCCCCTCTCTCTGTCAGCAGCCGAGGACAGCTGAGTCCCTTCGCACCACCTAGGGACTCCTAAAAGAGGCTTGGGTGGCAAGAAATGAAGAGAATGAAGCTGGAACCTGGCAAGTTGAGCCAAGGATGCCACGTCTCGGAGTTTATAGGTCTTCTAAAACGACAATCATTGATCCCAAAGGTCAAACCTTCACTCCAGGCAGGTCACTGCTGAACAAAGGTTTTCTTTTTTTTTTTTAACATATATCATATCATTCCATAGTTCAATCACCTCAAACAACTGTACAATTGTTGCCACAGTCCAAACATTCTTTTTCTAGATGGGTGCTGGGACATGGTCTCCCCTTCATCCCTCATCCACCTCTGAACCCCGCCTCCCCTAGAATAAAAGTAGAAACCTTTATTCTACTTGCTGTCTCCATAGATTCATCAATCCTGGGTTTTATACACACACAAAAAAACATAACACAACTCTGAGAGGGTGCTCTCCAGTGGCATGACACCTCCGGGATACACCCTAATATGAACGAGCAAAAAACAAACAATAATACAAACCAAAGATACGGACAATTTTGGAAACCAGATCAGGTCCAGCCTGCATCATAGGGATGGGGGAGGGGGGATTACTGACAAAATTTTAACTGTTCACATCAGATTTACTGCTTTGATCTCTATTCTCATCTCTCCAAAGCTCTCTGGTTAGTAACCACTTTCCTCCTAACTCCTCAATGGTAGGTATAGAGGGAGTTCTCCAGAGACTTATTTCCCATGTAGCTCCACGAATGAGCCCTGAGCTCCCACTGTCAACGTAGCCTTCTGTACACCGGGGCCTCACAATGCAGGCTCTGATCCTAGTCCCTCCTCTGACTTCAGGTGACATGGTTTACCATCCTTCGGTGACTGATGATGGTCTTCTTCCATGTGGACTCAGTGGGTGTCTCACTTGGATGGCTGCTGGTTTGGAAACAAGCCTTAAGACCTCAGACGCTATTTATCTGTCAGCCAGGCCCCATCTACATCGAACAGAATTTTTTTTAGCTTCTGGTTTTTAATGAAAACATTCTTTTACTTTAAGATTTGCATGTGGTGGCTACAACCTCATGGAGGTTGATCACGTGTGTTTCTAGCTGTTTCTTAGTGCTGATGAGGAATGGCCAGCTACCCCTGATCAAGGGCAAGAAATCAGCTCAGGCATGATGGGGCGAGCTCCTTCTGCAGTCCAAATACCCACTTTCCTCCCGTCTTTGGCCCCTGGCCTGACCAGTGAGTTTTGCTCTTTCCAGCAAGTTTGCTAAGCTCAGTGCGGTGCAACCAAGATCTCAACAGCTGGGGGTGGGAGTGTTGGAAGGCTGTGTGATGCTGGTCCCCACACTGCCGCTCCCTCACCCTCAGCCCATTCATCTGTAAAACTCTGCACCCTAGAAGCCTGGGAGGTTGTGGCCTTGGTAGCTCTGAGGAGATTCAGGCTCTAGCCAGGATGGTGAGATGGTTTACACCAACTGCAGCAAGAACCCAAACTCAACCCTCTAACTCCCTGCCATCCAGTCTATTCTAACTCATAGCAACCCGACAGAGCAGAGTAGACCTGCCCGGGGGGTGGGGGCAGGGGCTCCTAGACTGGAAATGTTTACAGGAGCACAAAGCCAAATCTTCAGAGGAGCGGCTGGTGGGCTCAAACTGCTGAGTTGGCAGTGAGCCGCTCAGTGCCCAACACACTACACCACCGGGGCTCCTGACTGGGGCAGAGGGCTCATGTCAAAGGCAACAGTGCCGGGGACCTTACGAAGCTGAGCGGAGCCCAGACTGGCACCTGTTGGAACAAGATCCTCCTTAGGAAGTGGCACGCCATTTTTAAGGGCCTGCGTATGTGGGAGACTGTGACAACCACAGGGAATGAACTTGGAGCTTTATTCCCGCGGCAGAATTGCTTCCTTCTTTTCCACCCTCCCCTTATCTTCCCACTCCACACAGATAGGGATGCTGGTTTTAAAAAACTCACATTAATAAAGACTAAGGTGCGCCCGACATGAAAAAACAAAACAAAAACTAACCTGAAGAATAATAGCTCCCTTGCCTTGCTCGTTGCCCAAGCAACAAGAATCCAATGAGCAGGTATGCATGAGTATTCAGTGAGCAGGTGTGTATGAATATTCAATGAGCAGGTATGCCTGAGCATTCAATGAGCAGGGATGTATGAACATTCAATGAGGAGGTATGCATGAGTAATGCTTGATGCCTGGAAGTGCCAAGCAGACCTTCAGGAGTTCTATTAATAACAAGAAGAAAGGTTGAGTGAGGTTTCTGGATCATCAAAAGTGGGATAAACATTAAACAACTCGAATCCAAACTCTGCCACAGAGTGAATTTTGACTCCTGGTCACCCTATTGGTCAGAGTAGAGGAGCCCCTGGGGGCGTCTGAGACGGCAGCTCTTATGAGTAGAAAGCCTTAGCCGTCCAACCTGTAGTCCCTGCAGCCACCAGGGCTCCTCAACATCAGGCCTCATTTTTCTCTCTCATGTGTGCCCTGGGAGGGAGCCCTGGTGGTGCTGTCTGGCAAGCGTCCCACCAGACATGCTAAAGAAAGATGAGGCAATCCTGCCCCCATAAAGCTTTGCAGCCTCAGAAATCCCATACGTGGTCACAGTGAGGGCATGGACTGACTCCCTGGCAGTAGGTTTTCTGCAAGCACCCAGGTTTCCCCCTCTGGACCCAGCTTCTCCTCGGCCTATCCTGCTCCCTGGACGTGTGTGCACTCGCTGGCGATCAGCTTGGCACAAAGCCGAGCCTGCCCCTGGGGTCTGCAGTGCCTGGCACGGCCGGCACAACCACTTGCACTGTGGGAAAAGGCTACAGGGCAGTGGGAAGACATGCTGGCAGAGCAGGCTGGGCACAGGAGCGCTTGCCCACCCGAGGGTACCCTGCAGCCTGAGAGCCACCATCAAAAGCTCTGCTGCGAATGACTCATGGCGTGGGGCTGCCAAGCTGACTCTGTTTTCTTTCCAGGGCTCGACCCTGCCGGCCCTTTATTCAACGGGAAGCCTCCGAAAGACAGATTAGATTCTGGTGACGCGCAGTTTGTGGACATCATCCATTCCGACACTGACGGTAACATTCCTGTCCACCCCCGGCCTCTAGAGAGTCTCCCTCCAGGGCATCCTCCTGCAGGGGCAGATCGGCTTGTCCGAGTGGCCCTGCTGCCAGTCCACAGAATCACGGAGGGGCAGAGAATCTAATGCAGACACCCAGGATGGTCCCTCTGGGTATTTTCCCACCTTGTCGGGGGATTTGGAGCCCAGGTGGTTTACTGGTTACTGGTTGTGCTGTTAAGCTAGAGGTCTGCAGTTCAAAACCACCAGCTACTCCTAGGCAGAAAGAGGCTTTTTTTTTTTCTCTCTAAATTCCCATGAAGAGTTTCAATCTCAGAAAACTCACAGGGGCAAGTTCAATTGTGGGATTGCAAGGAATCCAGGAGAGCCTGTCACTGTAACCCCAAACCAGTCAAGAAATTCTAAGTTTATTCCTGCAAGTGCTGGCCAGGTTTCTCTTCTGAGCTACCGTAAAGACTCGAGTATAAGCTAGCCCGACTATCTGCTGAGTCACCCAATTTTACCACAAAAACTGCAAAGTAGTCGTCAGTCAGTGCACATGGAGTCACATACAGATGGAGATACTAAGGCTCGGAGGAGTGAAGCATTGACACGAGACCATTAAAATAAACAAACTCACTACCATCTAGTCAATTCTGACTCAATACGACCCTATCGGACAAAGTAGGGCTGAGACAGGGAAAACCAATATATGAAACATAACCTATTGGCATTCTATGATGCTCACCTTCCCGACACAACCGCTGAAGACAAAGCAGGCGAATAAGCAAATGTGGTGAAGAAAGCTGATGGTGCCCGGCTATCAAAAGATATAGCGTCTGGGGTCTTAAAAGCTTGCAGGTAAACAAGCGGCCATCT